TGAAGATCTGACACCGAGCGCATCATGATTTGTGAGCGGCTTAAATAGTGCGAACGGAAATCATGATTAGCCGGGCCATTAAAGCCGCCGTTTTCCCCATGGCAATTTGGACGACTCTTTGGGACACACAGAGAAATTGTATGGAATTATGGTAAGTGTGGCCTTCTTTCGCGGTCAGAACCATTCACATGTTGATTAGCCTTTAAGTGGAGCATTTTGAACCAGGAAAGCTGTAATTTTCATTAATTTGCATAAATATATATGATGTTTTTTAAACTACATAATTTGTTTCTTCTTTTGGATTATAATATAATATCTACCAACTTTATATACCTTTCTTACAAATTGAAAGATATGAAATCCGTATCTTCCAATCCGAAATATAAATATAAAGAAATCTGTGCAAATTAAAAGTTAGTACGTATAGAAATCAAGTTCAAAGTCACGTGGTCTTAGTTGCGTAATCGGCTGGCAAGCTGAATCTCCGATCAAGATCGTGGGACCTCCTGATCTCTGATCCTTTTTTTCGCCGTGCAAGCGTCTCGAAGACGACCTGACCCATGGCCATCTGTTGGCTTTCGCTCCTTCTTTGGGCCGCAAAACAAAAACGCCTCTGGGCTGGGCCCTGATGTTTTCATTTCCCGATAAAGGAGGTCCGTAGATGGCACGGACCTAACTCAACTCAAGCCAGGCGAGTGGAGCGCACGCCAACATGGAGATGCAGAGAGCGAGATGGAAACGCAGATGGAGTTGCACTCGCAGCACGTTGCAGTTGTAGCAAATTAAAAAAATGCAAATGTTGCACGTTGTACGGCCAGACAAACAACAGCAACAGCAGCAGCAGCAGCAAATGCAGCAGCAACTGCTGCAAGAGCAACCGCTTGCCAACTTTATAGACTGACTCCTGCCTGGAAGCTCGCAATCGTGTTCATGTGTCACCAATATGATGTTGTCCAAGTCCAACCAAGTCCAAGTCCAAGTCCGAGTCCAAGTCCAGGAAAACTACGTAGACGATCGGTGCGGCGCGATAATAGAGTGAGGAGCCGAGTGGCGGATGAGGAGGAGTCTCGGGATGGTGGACGCGGACGGGGGACAAGCAACTGCCATGTCAGGCTGCCCGGCAGAGATGGCATCATCAGCATCGTCAGTAGCCATCGATTTCTGGCCTTCAGTTCGCCCCTTCCTCTGCATGCCCATCATGTAAATGCACATGGAAGACCATTGTTAAAGATATTTCATCACATTTTTGCTGGGAAATATTTAAACTCGTAACGAAACAAAACCCAATGATTGCCGCCTGCATCAAAAATATTTAGCAAAAGGCATTGAAATTCGTATAAATACAGGCTTTATCGCAATTGCAGTTCCCGAGATTTCGACTTTTATACGGACGGACAAGCTGACAAACGGACAACGCTAGTTTTCCCAATGAAGAATACACACACCTCATGGAATCTAGGAAACTCGTGCACTTTTACCTCACAAGTAATGAGTTTAATAATTTAGAGTATGTATATACCAAAAACTAACTCAAAAATTTATATGTTTATGGCAGATGTTTCATTACCACAGCAGAGACCATTTTAAAGGCAATGCCCCATTGAGCTGTCATAAATTGCCAGCGCAGCATAAATATGCATGGGAAAACTGGTGTACTTAATTCTGTATTCACGGACGGTTTCGTAGTTCCATGGACTGCACATTTCGGTACAGCAATTTGTGTCTTAATTAATGTCCCAATCAAGAGGCCAACAAAATCAGAAATGAGACCCACGACTGGCCGCGAGCAACGAAATCTCCATTTTGGGCAACGAACCCACAACCGCGACTGCTTCCATATGCATTTATGCATATGTATATGGGATATAGGTAGGTACATATGGGCTTATAGGTATATCTGGCATGGAGTGGAATCGGAGGATGCAGTGGCGGCAAACTCGTTTCGGTGCAGGGCACTAAATTAGTTGGCTGCTCCCCGTCCCGCCTGCAGTTCCACAAAGACCTTTCAATACAATTTTCTTTGGTTCGTTCTTAATTTCGATGGAGTCAATTTTATTGCCCTCAGCGGCAGACCAAAGGGGTGGAACTCGAGGAGGGGGGTTCTGACCAGGTAGCACCGCTAAGTAGTCGCCATTGCAGTGCAGCTTGGCCAGAAGATGCCTCTGCACAGGGAACAAATGCTAAATGCATTTGAAAGATCATCCGGAATGAGAGGAATATTCATTGATAAATTATTAAAACCGGGCACAGTTCAATTTTAGGGAAGCTAACAAAATGGCAGCCTTACTTTTGGAATAACGGAAAGTACACTTTTAAGATACTTTTCGATTTTATACTAGTTTTAAGATACTTTTCGGAAATAACCTCGGAAATTGCGTATTAAAATAGAAATTCATGCAGGAAACATAAGAAGTAAATTGAATGCAAATTGAAATATAGAACTGGAGATAAGAATTCATTTTTTCCTAAAACCATTGTACTATATTTCAAAATCGTTGTGCTTTAAAATCAAATATCTGTTTTGGATATTTCAAAGATATAATGAAAACCTACAAATAAAGTCGGTTTGTGACCTAACTTATTTTCCATATAAAATCAAGCATAATTCAAAGCCCCAGGAAATCGAAAATTTACATATTTTCAGATTGCAGAGGTTTTCCAGACTGCTTCGCATTTCCTCGCAGTGTAACTCGCAGTCTGTCGTCTTCGGTTGGGCACCAGTTAATTTGGTCATCTTCCATGATGTTTTGATAATGCGGCTGGAGCAGCGTACCCAATCTCCAGTCGTGGTCCTCCTTTGGGTTTTATTTTTATTTTTATTTTTTGTATTTCATTCGCTGTTGGGCTGCGCACGAAATTCTTGTCGCTGCGAATAATTACATAAATCAGTGAACTTAAAGCGTTTCGAGTTTCCAACTGTCAATATTGCCGGCGACTGAAAATCGAGCCTGGACCAAAAAAAAGAGGTAAGCACATCTTTTGTCAAGCGTTTCGAGCCTGATTGCGGCGGATTAAAATCAGCCAAGATATTAACACCTCATGCTACCGCCGTTCCCACAACAAAATTTCATGTTTATGCTTCCGAAAGGTTTTCGCGCTAAAAGCCATTCGCACCCACGTAAAAAAAGGGTTCTCAAACGCTGGCCAATCTGTCAGCAATTCAAATTTAGCGCAAGCAACAAAAGAAGTGATTTATGCCGCTGCCTGATTGATTTTAGGTCTTAAATTGGATGGGCAAATAAAAGCACCGCTTGGAGAGAACTCCGACAATCCGACAGTTGCGGTGAGTTTTTAATGCGCTTTCAAAATGCAGATTGTTCCGTTTTCGGCCCGTTCAATTTGTATGATTATGGCCTGTCACAGCCAACGAAGCCTGGCCCGGAATGGAACGGTAAATGGCCAGGCAAATGGCCAAATGGCCAGGCTCAACAGCTTGTGGTTAACTTGGCTTACAGACGTGAATTGGCTTGGATTGCATTGGTCAGTCAGCTGTCATTGGAGCGTGCGGGGCATCCAGCATCTTGGCCATCAAAATGTGACTTGGTTTTTTAAGTTTATATGCACATCATATATTTGCATGCCTGAGAAGAACTTCAAGATTGTAGTCAACAAATGGGAACCCTTTTTAAGCGGATGTATCTATTTACTCAGATGCTCTTAGTTTGTTTAGATAACTTTGAAGTTCAGCTTCATTAACCAAATACGTGTTCCAAATAAAAGCCCAATATTGGTTTTATGTTTTATATGATTTACTTATATTTTCCTTGTGCACAAAGTCGAAAATGCCCCACCAAAATGTATGAATTTTTGTTTTGTTTTGTAATTTTCAGTATTGTTTTGTTTTAGCATATGTGGGCATAGCTGGCAGCTATCCCCTCACAATCATATTTTGGATGCTTGGTTATCGAGTATATCCATCGTTTAATATTTGTTAATGAGTAAGTTACATTCACATATGCATAGTTTGGGTACATATAATTTTAAAATATATATATATGTATATATTTCTATCTGTTGTATCACCACGAACACACATAAGTACAAATCAAGATTCCATTATGTATGCAGTTATTGTTATCCAATACCCAATATCCAATATCCACCCCATGCAATTTAGATGACCTCTCCTCAATTATTGCGAATCAATTATAGTGAAGTGACACAACTGTATGAATGCCAATAACATGCCAATATAGGGGGCACTGAACTTGGGCTCTTATGCCATATAATGTATCGTTATCCTATATACAATGTACATGCATGGTGACCAGGGGCTTTCGCTTCCTATTTACACAAGCAACTCATTGCGAATGCGTCTCTCTCACTTGCTGGCCATAACCGCCTTTTGGCCTTCTGCCTTCTGCCTTCCGGTTAAACACGGCTCCAACTGAATATCCCGACCCCTTTACAAACTATAATGGCTGCGCTAAAAAAAATACATGCTTTCGCTCAACTAATTCCGAGTTCGGCTGGCTGGCTGCTATCTGTGGGTTGTAGTTAGGTAGTTCTGGTCTGGTGTTCTAAACTATTATCGTCTTGTTGCAAAAGATACTGACTGGCCGCCCGCCCTCGTACGCCCTAAAATCATTATTCGCTCTATGTTGCTGTTGCTTTTGCTGTTGCTGTTTCAGTTACAATTTGATTCAATTATTGTGCTGCACTGCAAATGAGTTTCGATTTATTCAAAAATGTAGTCGTGTAAATATCATTGCTTTGCTAATTCGTATTCTGTGTATATAGTAATTTATATGTAACATTTGTGACTCCCCACCCACCCAACAATTTCACCGTCTATATAGGCGTATCTGTATTGCTTGCATCGGCTTCAATTTGTATGCGGGCTACTTCCTATATACAGCTAAAATGTTAGATGCCAATGCCTCTAATACTGTCCTGGATTTGCGCTTAGATCCCGCTAGGATATGTCCACTGCACTTCCTTCCTGCTTCGTCGGCTTCTTTCGTTTGGATAAGTTAATTTAAGTTTACTCTCAGTTTCGATTCGATTCGATTTGATTTGATTTCGAGTTGTATTTGCGATTTGCCAAAGTTACGATCAAAGTACCAACTACAGTGTGGAAAATTTACACAGAATAAATAATTTAATACATTTAATTTTAATATGCTTCCATTTACATTTACAAGTCCTTCGCGCACCGCCTTTGAGTATAATTGTTCGCATTGTTTGCCTGGGCAACTGTTAGCTCTAGTTATAATACGTTTAAATACAGATTTCGGAGTTGCTATAAGTACAAAATACACTTTAAAACTTAAATGAGCGCTTCGTTGGTGCTTAAAAAATAGTTGCTAAAATTAGACTTCGAATTGTAAGTGTAGAAAATAAAGCGACGCGGCTTTGTGCACAAAATACTGTTCAAACGATGGATCTATCGATCGGATCGGATCGGATCGGAAATTGGTAGACAGTTTTTGTACGTGTTCTTTTGTCATTTGTCAGCGTTCATCCAGTCCGGGCGTCTACTGTAGATGGCTTCTTATGCGATACGATTTCTAACTGCTAGTTTATGTCGGCTAATAGGTTTGTTTATACTGTTGCTGCTGCTGCTCTTCGCCGCCCTTGGATTCTTAAAATCTGAATACACCTTTTCACTTGCATACTGTTGTTCGCCTTGGCTGGTGATTCCATTAAATCAAAGCTACGCCTTTCCAAGGTCTTTAGCGACATAGGACGTTGAATACTCTCGCGTGTGTTTATATATCTACTATATATAAATATATATATTAATGTGTATGCTGCGCTTTTAGACTATAACTAACCCTCTCCTCCTCCTCTCATTTATGTACAATCTCTGCTTAACCTAATCTAATCTCTTGACCAAAATTGTGCTGCTTCAGTTAATGCTGCTGTCGTCTCCACGGCTGCCTCCTCATCCTTTTGCGTTGCCGCGATCAGGGTGACCATTTCAATGGGATGCGTTGCTGGTATGGCCATGCTGTTCGGCGTGACGGTGGTGCCAATGGCGATGGTGTTACTGCTGCTGGTGGCCATCTGGATCTGTGGCAGGCTAGCGGTGCAGGATCAGGAGTGCTTGTCAGTCAGTTCACCCCAGCGTGACTCGAAGAACTTGCGCATGCCGTGTCCGGCCTTGCCAACGGGCGAATCGTCCTCGTTGAACATCTCACAATTGTCGAAGATCTGACGCACGTCCACGCAGAAGTCCTCACGGGTTTTGTAGCTATTGAAATCAAAGTTGAACTAGTGAGTTTATGGCTTTCATAGGAGCTGAGCTGCGTTACTAACCTCAAATCTTGCAATTTCTTTTTGATTGTGGACAAGTCCATGGGAGTTTTGATTATTTTTCGATATGTGGGAAACTGCTTGGTGTTCACTGGCAAAAGAAATGGCCACGAGTCCTCATGAAGCTGCAAGAAGTAATGCAAACCACATTATGTAACCAGTTATTGAATGATTCGTTTTAGTTCCCACCTCCATTTCCCCCAACAGCGTCTTGCAGACAGCCAGCTCCTTCATGAGCTTCTTGGTGGCGTGCTTCTCCTTCTTCTCCTGCTTCAGCTTCTCCTTGGCTTCCTGAATGGCATGTATGTTGATGGGCGGCGGCGACATTTGGTTAGTTGCCGTTCCCACCGTTCCAATGGCTGGTGGCGAGGGCATGGTCATCAGCTGCGCATGCTGTTGTTGGGGCGGCGACTGGCAGGCGTTTACATGGAGGGCGGTGGCTGTGGGCGAGGCCTGCATGAGCAGCGGTGTCGGCGGTGGTGGTGGCGGAGTGGGTGCTGGCGTCGGTGTGGGCGTTCGGGTGCGGGTGGGCGTGACAGCCCGTGGCGACATGGCGACCACGTTGGCAAACGGCAACGCCGGCGGCACCGGCGCTTGGCTAATCAATCCGGCTGAGAAGTTGCCAGCCCCAACTGGCGTATAAACTGGGTAACCACTGGGCATCACACTGCCGCCGCCCGGCACATCTTCCAGCAGAGCCGCAGTGCCATTATTTGAGGGGGGAATGAGATGCGCGTGGAAGCGACTGCTGCCATCGACCGAGTTGTTGGCATGGTGCTGGTCATCGTAGGTCGTTGCCGAGACCACCGAGTGCGCCGGACTGCAGAGAGCAGAGGCATTATTTTTTAACTGGAACCCGGACCGTGTACTCCGCCGCCCATTCAGCCGCCCGCAGGCCCCCACACTCACCTCAGAGGAGCCGCCGGCAGAGAATTCATCGACTCATCGTGCGAGGAGTTCAGCGACGGCGGCTGCTGATGATGATGATGGTGGGAATCCCCGCCTGCCAGTGGCATCTGCTGATGCTGCTGCTGCTGCTGCTGCTGCTGCATGTGCTCCATGGCTGGTGTCTTGCTGTTGTCGCTACGCCGCTTGGCCGAACCGCCCGACTCCCTATCCCTGTCCCTCCTGGATTTGCTGCTGCTGCCGGACGTGCCACCGGCACTTCTCTTCTTCGGCGGAGGCGCCCGCGAGATGCAGCCGTGGCAGTACCACTTGCCACGCGGTACCTTCAGCAGCGGTGGTATATAGCAATCAGCGTGGTAGGCACGGGGACACAAGTCGCAGTAGATCATCTTGCCCACGGGCGAGGGACGATGACCGCCGCAAACGATGCACTTGCGCTCATTGGTCGCCTTGTTCACGCACTCGTAGCAGTACCTGAAATAGCAGAAGGAAGGGTTTTCAGGTTACTAAATAATGTTCACCAGATCAGGGATTGTCGTTGGGAACAAAGAGAGAGAGAGAGATAGAGGAACAGTGCCACAGTTTCTCAAAGGTTAACGATCAACGCTCAACAAGACAACGCGGATTAATGTGTTTTCTTTTTTGTAATCTATGACAGTGACATGTGAGGAATGAGGATGTTTAGAGATAGAGGACTGGTACTGGTACTTGGTACTTGGTACTGGTACTCACCAATCGCCATCGGGAATGTTGTCCATCTTGGGCTTGAAGCAATAGGTGTGATAGCCCTTGTCGCAGCCGTCGCACAATAGCAACTTGTCCTCGTTTTCGCCGGACGTGCAGAACTGGCAATTCTGTAAGGAATTTGAATATTTGCTAGAGTTTGTTTTGTTGGCCGAGCGTCTGCTGCGTTTGCCGCCGCTCTTCTGCTTCGTCCGTTTGCCAAAGTCCGAGTCGGAGTCGGAGTCGCTAGGGTTTGGATGGGAGGATGGGGATGCGGTTGGGGATTTGGTTAGGATATGGGCTGTCTTAGTTTGGGCTTGATTCAGCAAACACTGCCCGTTTTGGGCCAAAGCCTTAAGGTTGATTTTGATGCTTAGCGGAGCCTTGTTTTCTGGCTTATTGATGGCGGTTTTGCTATCTTTTCCATTGGTGGTCACGTGCTGCTCCTTTTTCTTTTTCTTCTGCTGCTGCTTCTTCGAGGGTGTTGCCTGCTTTTTGGCGCTGCTCTTCTTTTTGCTGGACTTGTTTTTTGTTGCATACTTTTCGGATGGTAGTTCGAAACGGTTCGTTTGAAGGGTGGGATCAACGGTCGTGGTGGGTTTGGTGGGTTGGGTTGTCGTTTGTAAGCGGTTTAACGGTTATCGGTAAACGGTAAACGGTAATGGGCAACCAAAGCATTCATGTACATGTGTGTGTGTGAGTGGTGGATAATGTATTTGTGTGTGTGTGAGTATGAAAGCGTTAAATTTGTTGCATTTTGTTTAAAGAACACCATGAAACACCACAAGCAACAAACAAGTCAAACATTCAGCAAGAGACAGTTAAGAAGGAAAAACAAAATCGGAAGGAGAAACAAAACAAAATTCGAATTAATTTCACAGGCAATTTCCACGTTCTTTTTTATGCAAAGGGGGTTTTCAAAACTACTTAACTACATATGTACTAAAAAAAACAAAATTTCCATTGAGAAGTGTAATCACAGTTGCTTATTCTTTTAAAATTATAGTCTACTATAAAAAAAACCGCAAAGTGCCTTACTATTCTTGTATAAATCACAAGTTTTTAATTAAGACAATTGGATTAAAAACCATAACGTTATGTGGAAGTGTAAAAGTACTAAGAAAAATTAATAAATGCAAATGAAGATCAAATCAAAAATCGTAAAGCAACCGTGATACAAGTTCTTCACTAAATTTTCAAAACCTCCGTTTCAGTTGTGGTGAATACCGGTTAGTGTTTCGCAATATTAGATGGTTGTGCAATGCATGTGTGTGTGTGGGATGTGAGTAGTGGGTGTTAGTGTGTGCAGCCAAAACAACAATGAAATGGACCACAAATATAGAGGCGGGTGCCACAAGCAGGTTATCGTTTTCATATCGGGAATTTTTGAAAGGTTTTCAAAACCCTCCTAATCTTACCGCTTTCATAATGCTCTTGTCCCAGGCCACGCAGGATTCCAGAACGTACAGGGCCATCGCCAGCTGGGCGGTGGTGTGCGATCGGGATACTGCGTCACGCCACTGCACCAATCCCTTGGGGATCTGCTCCACCTTCTCGTCCCGATCGCTGTCGCAGTTGCTGGCCGGTGACGCGTTGCCGGAATTCGGTTCGCCGCTGCCCGATTCGCAGGGCGTGGCTCCTGCTACGACTGCCGTGTTTGCTCCTCCGGCTGGGTTTCCTGGCCCCGAGGCTGCTGCCGCCGCCGCCAGAGCCATAGTACGCTCGTTGAAGGATGAGGCATTCAGGTTATTTCCCGCACCCGAACCCTGTTGCTGCTGCTGCTGCTGTTGAGCCAGCTGCTGTTGCTGCTGCTGTTGCATCTGCAGGAGATATGCGGCTGCCGATGCGGAGTTCTGCGTCTGGGTGGTGGTATGCTGGTTCTGGGCAATCACCGCTAAATGGGCATCGCCTGTCTGCGAGCCCAACGGCGGCTTCAAGTAACGCCTTTCGATGTTCGCCTCCAAATCAATGATTCTTTCGCGGATCATGGGTATGATGCTCACGAAATCCTCCTCGGTGACATCCTCCTGCGAGTCCAAGGTGAGTTCACTCTCCACGCGATTGGGCAATTGCCAGTTCTTTAATTGCATGGAAGCACTGGCCACCTTGTCCTCCAGCGATTCGAGTTGTTCGATGAGGGCGAGCTCCACTCGTTTGGCTACCTTGGGATTCCAATCGCCCTTCTTGTCAGGCATTAGGAATTCCTCCGGATAATCGATGTCCGCTTTCAGCTTATAATTCACACCCAATGGCTGTTCCAGTCCTAGGAAACGTTGAAGATTCTCCTGCAGTTCGCGCTCCCTCAAACCGGACGGATTGAGAGTTTTGAGCAGCTGGCGCAGCTTCTGTTCATCGTCCAATTGCCACCAGCCGTAGCGCTGCCTGCGAGGCACATAAACTCCGTGAACTCGTTCCGGAAAACCGGCCAGCTTGACCTGCTCCAGCAGACGATGCTCATCGGGGGTCATGGAAAGCGGCAGAGGGATATCGATGGGTATATATGTTTGCACACTGCTCAATGACATATTGGCTATGTTGTGGTAATATGCCTGTGATAGCGCCTCATCCAAACGAAGCTCAATCTTGGGCTTCACATCAGTTCCCTCGCCGGCTCCTCCTCCCGTGTCCGGTGGTGCATCAGAGCGCAAGCGAAAAAACTTTTCCTTGCCAGCAAGCTCATCTGCATCTGTTTCCATTTCGGTGTCAATCTCCTTGTCCAACTTCAGCTTGGCCTGCTCCTCATCATCTTTAGTCTCGTGGTGGCGATGAGGAGAGCCCAGACCGTTTTTTGACTCCACCTTGTGGGCCTTATACTCCTCTACCTTGGCTAGCATTTGCTTTTCATCGAGCCCACTCAGCGAGAAGATGCACTCGTTGCCCAGTTTGCTGGTGTCCACCTTGCATTCGTCCATTGGAATCGAATAGTACTGCATGTTGTTGATCAGATCCCACGGATGACCTTGCAGCTGCAGCTGGGCCGAGCAGTTCTGATTTGCATAGCTGATCTGCAGTTCCTGGCCCACCACGCCTCCCTCCTCCGCTGGCAGTTCACTGATCAGTGGAACCTCCCGCCGGACAATGGAGAACCACTTTGGTGTATCGTCCACACTGGATGTCGATACTATTATGCAGTCGTCCTCCTTTTTCACATCCTCCGTCTTGATCACAGCCTGGCTAAAGTTCTGCTGATGCTGCTGCTGCTGCTGCTGTCCTAGTCCCAAACCAGTTTCCAACTTATCACAGTTGTCGCTTCCATTGTTGTTATTGTTATTATTGGTGTTGTTGTTGTTGAGGGTAGGCGGCATCAAGATGCCGGGCATAGAGGGTATTTTAATTTCAGCTTCAAAGTCGGTCTTAGTGGATATCATGGTCGTCGGTGGCGGACCCATCAGCTCCATCTCCGATTTAACTTTGATCTCTGGTCTGGGAGGTTCTATCTTGGGCAGTGGAGGAGCTGCATCGTCGTCATCGTCGCCCAGATCAACAATTTCCGGTTCCACCTTGTTGATTTCAGTCACATCATCATCGTCATCTTCCTCATCTTGATGTGCGTTCTGTTGATTAGTTTCAGGCATCTCGACGTCCGGAGCAGGAACACCATCTTCCAGTTTTGTGTCAGACTCATCCACCTCCATTGGCTGCTCACTGGACTCCGCCGCAACATCTTTCTCATTTTCGGAGTTCTCTTTCTCGTCATTTGCATCCTTTTTGTCATCCATGGCCTCCAATGCCTCATTATAATCGCATATATCATTCTGGGCCGACTCAAGTGCTTCAATAAAAATACCACCAGCCTTGGGCAACTTCCAGTAGCGACGCCAGAAGCGATCCTGTCCAAAACACGCTGCTCTCAGCTGATTTGTGCTCTTCTCCAGCGCCTCTTTGCAGTTAAGGGAAGCTCTGACAATCTTGTCGAGCTTCTTCTGCAACTCATCGGCACTTAAGCGATTGTCCTCGTCCTCCTCGACATTCGTGATCTCCGAGTCCAAATCGGAAAGATCATCGTCAATAATACTAACATCATGTTGGTGTTCATCGTTGATGGAATTGCGGGCCCCACTTTTCTTGGCCTGCAGCAGAGCATTCATGTCGCCTCCAGTGACACCACTTGTGGTAGGTGTGCTGGATCCATTAATTTGGTAGGTGGGTGTGGGCATGTCCTGTTTGCTGGGCGTCAGACTATTCTCCGTTTGGATGATGGTTTTGGCCGGACTTACAAGAGATTCCTCATCGACCACGCCGCCATCCACTTCCATTGGCTGCTGCTGCTGCTGGGGTTCCTTGGCGGCTCCCTCCTCATCCTGATCGCCATCTTCTGGCTTCTCGCCATTGGGTGAGCCACCTTTGGTTGCCTCTCCATCTGTTCCGACTGCTGCAGCTGCTGCTTCCTCTGCCGCCGCAGCCTTGGCTTCCTCCTCCGCCTTAAGACGTTCGGCATCCAGCTTCTGCTGTGCCATCAACGCCTGCATGGCCGCCTCACGCTCCGCCTGCGCTCGTTCATAGGCCTCGATTCGAGCCTTGCGCATGTGCAGAGCCTTATACTTGCGCACCTTCATGTCCGTCATGTATTTCTCCTTTCGCATCTGGGCGCAAGTTTCCAGGCTTCCATCAATCTGGCGGAGCACGGCCTTGTTCATGAGCAGGTCATTGCAGAGATGGGCCAACATTTGGGCTTTACGTGTGGGATTCAACGCAACGAAGGGGCGATCTTTCAGCGATTGCGACAACTTCCAGGTGTCGTTTTCATGGAGAAGCTTATAATATTCCTGGTTCTTTACCGAGTGTGAATGAGTGGTGGTATCGCTATCTAGTTGGTGATGATCCGGCACCCTTCTCTCACGCTCACGATCCACAGTGATGCCGTGCATTTGACGCACTTCACCTGTGGCCGTTGCATACAGATAAATCCTCAGGATTTCGGATACATTCGAATTGGTGATGTCCGCATTGCGTAGCGATTGTCCCAGTAAAGTGGTGTGTCTGCCGGGATTAGGAACACCTGGATCCTCAATGGCACAAACCAACAGATGCGTCATCACCGACAGCAACTCCTCTTCCGCATCCGCATTGCTATCGCTCATCAAAGCATCATGCAGGTTCTGAAGCGAGGGCAGTGATTCCATGTCAAAGCCCAGAGTCTCGCCGAAATTATGCAGGAATTCAAAGACCATGAGCAAATCGGCCATTGCCTGGCCGGGAAGTCTGTTGCCCGCAATCCTATCCAGCTCTGGGATTACCAGTTCTTGTGGCATTTCAGAGTCCTCATTAGGACGTCTTATCAACTGCAGAATCTCCGCATCTCGTTTTCGCTCCGCCATACGACGCTCACGCAGAAGCAAACGGTCCAGCACCAGCTGATGTTTCTTCTTTTCACGATCCTCGAATTTCCGACGCAGCTCCAACATCCGAATGAGACTCATGTGTTGGCGACGACGTTCTCGTTCCTTTATGGAGAGGAAATAACAAAGATTAATGCATTTTATTACTTATTCCAAGGGGTTATATAGTCCTCTTACCATTTCGGCAGCCAACAGCATTTCTTTCTGTTTTTGTAGTTCCTAAATTAAATAAGGTTGTTTTGGTTAATAACTTGAAAGTAACTTGAGCAACTGATGCCGAGATGGCAAAGTTGGTCTTCTACGACCCCTACTAAACAAAAACCAACAAGCGGATAGTTCGGACACCCCGAAACGCGATAAAAGGTTGAACAAAAACTCAATTTAGAAGAAAAAAACATTCAATAGCCCAAATCACCAGCCTGGTGGCATCAGTAAAAATATTTTAGAAATATTTTTAAAGCATAGACAAAGGAAAGGAACAGGAATAAAAGGCATAAAGAAACAATTCTTGAAGCAATAAATAAATCGGTCTGGTTTCTTTTCTCGCAAATATTAAACGGAAGAAGATCGGATTGGTATCAAGCACAAGGTGAGAAGGTGAGGCATAAAGTACCTGTTCCTTAGCTAAAATGGCCTCCTGACGACGCTTTTCTTTCTCCTATTGCAAAACAAAACAGAATTATACACTGATTTCAGCGGAGCTCCAGCAATCTAGACTAACCTGTTGCTTCTTAAGCAATTCCTCTTGCTTAAGGCGATCTAGCTCCTCCTGACGCTTTTTGCGCTCCTAAAAATATGAGTTCGCATAAGCAGATAGTCTCACAAGTCTTAAAACTTTCAAATTACCTCAACAGCCTGCTGATTCTTGAGCTCCTTGTCCTTGCGCTGCTGCTCCAACTTGGAGTTCTTCTCCTGGCGAGCCTTCTCCTTATTTCTGGCCAATTCCTCCTTCTGCAGCTTCTTGGCATCACGCATCGCCTGCTGTTGCTTGGCGATCTCAATCCGCTGTTCCACGTTAAGTGTCTGGCGGGTGAAGACCTTCAGATCCTCCAGCCGCTTGGCCACGTCCTCGTCCGTCATCCGTATGTACTCGCCATCATTGGCGTACGGCGGTGGTGCGGGCTGCAGGAATGAACCAACAATGGCTCGCGCGGAGAAACTAAAGTTTTCACGGCTTAGATTCGATGGCTGCTGCTCCAGGATCTGTGAAGGGTTAAATAAATTAGCTAAGTTCTTAGAAGGTGAATATCCTTGTGTGCATTGTATCCAATTTTTAAATTTTCTGCTTCTTATTTTAGAATTAGAATTGATTTAGTTTAGAATTAAGAAAAACATGAATTAAAGCTATTCTAATTGCATTTTGAACTCCAATCATAAATTTGTAGTGGTTTAGAGTTATTATTGTGTGTTACAGAATTTGCTTTAATATATTCAAAAAAGTCGCCCTACAAACTCACAGCAAAAACCTGTCCGTTGCTCTTCAGCGGCGTGCTGCTTCCTGGTGCATAATAGGTGACCTCTCCACGGATCTGGCCTTGTTTAGTCAGGCCACGAATCACCGTCTCACGCTTCCAGCCCAATTCCAGTGGCACCCTTAGCTCCGCTACATTCAGAATGTTGGCATCCTCACTCTCAGACTCTGAAAGTCCACTTTCGGCCGCTACGCTCTCGGAATCCGTAGAAGTCTCCATATGGGCATTGGCTTCGCTCAGTGCCAGGCGGATTTTCTCCTAAAAATTCGAAAGTATTAAGTTTCATGGTATTTGATGATTTAATCATTAACTCACAATATCAGCACCCTGTTGAAGAAGTTGTTGGGTAGCCAGCATGGGTTTAAGGCCCACAGCTCGGGATTGAGCCAACAACGAAGCCACTGTGTTCTTCTTGGGCTTGGATACGCCACGACCCAGGTTACGTGGTCTTCCCTCTTTGTAAGAGGACGATCCACCACCGGAACCAGATGCCGAACCACCACCCGTGCCTCCTGATCCGGCACCAGCCGGTGCTGGAGAGGTTCCTCCGCTGCCGGAAATGGAACCACCAGGCATACCCCCAGTTCCACCCAGAGCGGCTGTAATAGAGCTTAAACTCTGCAGGCTATTGCCGCTTTGACCACTGGACGCTGCCTGATAATCGCTCGCCAAGTTAGCCAATGCTGCGGTGGAAGAGGAGGAGCCCCCGGCTGCTGCGTTTGTTGAGCTACTGTTGCTCTTATCCGAGGGCTTCATGGAAAGATTAAGTGGTGCGTCAAAGTCATCGATGGTAATGGGATTGCTGGCTGAGCCGACGGCACCGCTGGGCGTCAAGGCGTTGCCGCTCGCGTTGGACTTTAGGCTGAGATTCACACCTCCAGAGGTGGGTGCCATGTCGGTGGTGAGGTCGTGCACCTCTTTTCCCTTACTTGAGAGATTATAGGCTCCGTTGGAAGTGATTGTGGGTGGCAGTTTGATAACCTCCACGCGATCACTATTGCTCTGGTTGAGCAGGTTGCTCCCTGCCGAGGAGGAACTGGTACTGGTTGTGGGAGCCGTTGAAGAACTGGCCTTGCTTACACTCAACTGATCGAGTGGATTACCACTCATGCCAGGCATACCGACCAGTCCAGCCATTCCCGGGATACCGGCTGCTCCGAGCATCCCATGGAGTTGCTGTTGCGCCTGGTGCTGCTGCTGAGCCTGCTGATGCTGCTGTTGGGCGGCCGCAGCCATCGCCGCGTACTCCATTTCGAGTCTAGCCCGCTTCGCGGGACTGAGACCTGGAAATGCAAGCAGAGAGGAAATGGCATTTTTGGTGCTGTCGAGCTCTTTTTGTGCTTGTTGCTGTTGTTGGAGTAGGTGTTGTTCTGCTTGGTGTTGTTGTTTCTGTTGTTGTTGTTGTGTTGTTTGCTGTTCTGTTTCGGAAATAGTCTTTTTGCGACCGCGCGAGGTAGTACCAGGAATCTTGGGTCCCACAATCGAGGACGTGTACTTGATTATCTCCGTGTCCGGTGGTAAACGAACTCCGAGCAGAGACGGATGCTCACTACCAGTACTGTAAGGGGACAATATCATTAGTAGTGTAAGACAGTGTGACGGCTGAAGCTTAAATTACCCCATCATGTAATCCTTAGAACTGGATTTGCCCGATCCCGATGTGGAACTGCTGCCTCCCATTTGCTGCTGCTGCTGGGAGGAGTGATGCGGCGAGGACGTTACCGTGGCGGATGGCGACACACCTGTGCTGGCTGCAAAAGCATTCATTGCCGCCTGCATGCTCTGCTGCGGCGTCATTCCCAACGCTCCAAACTGCGAAAGCGAGTTAAGAGCGTTGAGCGAGGGATTGTTTTTGTCACGATCCTTGCTCGATGATGAAGACGAGGAGCCCAATCCCGCATGCGGCGACATCAGCGGATTGCTGCTGGTTAAACTGGGATGCATTCCTCCCAATGAGGAATTGCTGGCGCTCACACTGGTCGAAGCTTTGCCACTGGACATCATGCCACCGCCGCTGCCCATTCCCATGCCAAGGCCATGCATTGAGGACGATGAGGAGCCACCCCCACCGGACTTCTTGCCCGAGGAACCGCTTGAGCCTGAGCCGGAAGCAGCGGCTGCCACGGCCTGCATGGCCAGCAGCTCCTTGTGCAGGGTCACCGGATCGTAGGCAGAGCCCGGATTATTAGCCATGCTGCTGCTCGTCATAGTCGAGGGCTTACCATAAGCGCTGGCCGTGCTCTAATAAGTTAAATGAGCGATTTAAGTTATGAATTTAGATATATCGTGTTTATTCTCACCTTGTAACTTCCATGACCTCCGCTATTTGTGGATATCGAGCCGCTACCCGTGCTCACCGACGGAATGCTAGTGCCCGGAACTCCTACCCCAAAACCATGCATGCTGGCCAGCGCGGCGGCTGGATTATTGGCTGCTGCTGCTGCCGCCGCCGCAGCTGCCGCATTTAGACTGTTGGCCAGACTTTGCTGTTGTTGCTGTTGCTGCTGGGCAGCTCGCTTCTCCTTGCGCGACTTGTTTGACTTGCTGCCGGAGGAGCCAGATGAGGATCCACCACCACCGTTGCCACTGCCGCCGTTTCCACCGCCGCCCTGGCCGAGTACACCTGCTCCACCTCCTCCAGCACCCGCTCCACCAGCACCGCCGCCCATTCCCATTCCAGCTGGTCCAAAGGCAGCCGCCAAATCGGGATGTGGGAAGGGTGAGAGACCCGATGCTTGCAGGCGACTGAAGTAATCCTGGGCAGCTAACTGGGCCATTGACCACCAGCCTGTAAATCGAATAGCAGCGAGTTAGATACGGATTTTTACAAAAATGTCTGCCAATGTAATGTAGTAAAGTTAATTCAATACTTTTACGTTAGTTAAGTTACGCCATTAAAGCGGTGGAAAGAGCAAACTAAATATTGCATTGCATGAGCACATGGGCTTAGTAATGATTTAAAAAGCGATTATACAAGATGTTTAAATTTATCGACATTTTTATGCAAAGAGTGAGAGGTCAAACCTTTAAACATACAAAACAACACTAAAATATTTGTGCTTGACCATTTTTCACTGGCCCGCTCTGGTTGAAGCGTCGTGGCCAGTGTAAAGCGAATAGCAAGTTATACTAAATGCTCTAGGAGTTTTCTCTTCAAACGATCTGCGCGATAGACAAGACGTTTGCTGTTTTACTCCACACAATTTGGGGGAATTACAATGCAGATGAAAACTGATATCACCAAGCGGGATTCGAACTCGCGTAGATTTTTGTACGTTTCTTCATGGCTGAGGAAGTCGCCTTAACGCACCGCACCAAAGCAGTTGCTAATTTCGTGGCGTCACAAACATCTTCTTGAGGTGTGCTACTAAAATACGGAATGTGCCGACATTTTACTCACTTGCTGGATGCAAACCGGCCAAACTGGCGGCCTGGGAAGCGGCCACTGCCATCGTGTTCTGGTGGTGATGGGCTCCCGCCGCCGCTGCCGCTGCTGCTGCCATGGAATAACGGTCATTGGCAGAGGCGCCTCCGGCTTGTGGCAATAAACCCAAGCCGGCAGCAGCGGCGGCATTAAACTGCGAGTTGAAGAGCGGATTGGAGGCAGCTGCAGCCGCCGCTCCAGTGGGATCACGTCCCCAGTAGGCTGTAAAAGGAAAAATCATTTAAGATCATCACTTACAAAATAAAAATAAAATTCTTACCAAACAGGGAAGCTGCATCTAGGAGGCCGGTGGGGTCGTGCGGCCCCCCGGCTCCAGCACCCCCTCCCGCGTTCGAGTTTTTGTTTGAGTTTTTGCCATCGCTGCCATCGCCGGCATTTTTGTTCATGTTCAAAATCCCCTAGTTCTTAGGACCAGCTATTGTGCGTAACATGCGTTTGGAGTCTGCAATGAATACAGAAAATAGCAATTTTATGATATATTCTTTGTATTTGAGATATAAATGGTATGAAAATTTATTTTAATTAATATTAAATTAAACTATTTCCTTCAACATTTCTACAAAATATGTAAACAAGAATTTATTTTAACAGTCATAGTAACTCATGTGAATACACAACACTTGTATTTCGAAGATACCATTCATCAATCGGTTTCATTTTTCAACTTCAATCTTAGCTATTACTCCGCTCTCTGTGTTGGCAATGCCGCAACGCTTGGGCGAAAGTCGAGCACAAAGCGGAATCGGCCGAAATATGGAAAGCAAAACAAAACTAAAAAAACTACACGCCAGCGAGAGAGGCCGTACACGCACAAAACGGAAGCAGAAGCTGACTGCTCTCTTTTACCACTACACCTGCACGTCGTCGGCAGAGCGGCGAATTCAGCAGTCAGCCAAGTCGTCGGCGACGGCGAATTGACAAATTACGCACAATATTGCATTTTGTTTAACAATAAAAGAAAAAATCCCTCTTGTGAAGAAAACTTGAACTTTACAAGTCATGCGCAACGTTTACCACATCCACTAATGAAAAAAAAGAGGAAAGAAGTAAAAAAGAAAAGTCAAGCCACCCACACAAACACATTCGCAGACTGCAGGCGGCGACTGCGAAAAGCGATGCATACACAAGCGAAAAAAGAAGAAAAAAATTCCGTTCACAGCAATTTGCACTTCTTTTCGGCAGTTTTTTTTTTTTGTTCGCATCACTTTAGTAAATTCATTCATGAAATTCGTAAAGTTCCCTTGTTTTTTTTTTCTTGCGTTATGGCGATTTATTAGACAAACTGCATGTCGCTTTAACTGTTAAGGGGCTTTGCTTTTATTACTTGCGCTGCGACAGCAGTTAACGGCAGTTGTTTGCAGTGGCTATTGCATTTTCCGCGATTCAAATGTACAATTAACAAAAATATTTACAAGCGCCGTTTGGCGACGCGTCCGTCTGTGTTTGTGATTTCGCGGCGAATGAGCGTGTGGAGAGTGCGGAGAGCGCAAGAACCGCAAGTGGCGGCGGCGGACCATCGGAAACGAAACGCAAAAGGGAGAACGCGGGCGGCAGAGAAAGAGAGACAGAGAGGGCCGCTTTATATTTGTTGTTGCCACGCACCGTGGTTGATGATTGCACTTTTCTTTTAGTTACTTTACTTATTATTATTATTAGTTTTAGCTGTATTAATCACTTTAATGAGCCAACGTTTAGTTTGCCTAAGATGGACCCACTGTGGCTCGCTAATAACTGTAATTGCGCACTCTTTTTCCTGCTTTCTTTCATTCGGTCTTATTTTTTTTTTTTTGTTGTCACGCATCGGCAGGCGACAGATGTGCGCTCTTATAAGGGGAGGGAGGTGATAGCCCAGGAGAGAGAGAATGCGTGAGAGGAGGGGGGAGTCTGCGAAAGAGCTCCGGCAATTTATAACAAGCAAGAAATAAAACAAACGAACAGAACGACTTGGTACAGTGAAGCTTGCTTAATGACGGTAGGCTACGCAGGTACTGTCACGGGAATTATTATGGCATTTTATCGTTTCCTATGCATATTGTTCCTTTTTGAATCGAGATACACAAATGTTATTACGTACATTTTAATTGGGTTATCTAAGTATTTAGTACAGTACATTTGAGCACAGATCATTTGATTGTTCTCTGCATTTTGGCTGTGAATATTACTCAATGGTCTGCAATTCCTGTTCTTTGAATCCCTTGCTTTCCACTTTCCATGATGCATTTAATGTGTTAGCGGAAGTAGCACTGTAAAACTTTGCCTTTTGTCTTCTTCTTCAGCTTGGGCTTTTGCCTTTGGGTTCACCGCAAGTGGATGGGGGAGGGTGAAAGGTTGAAGGGAGATAGAGCAGAGGGAGCGAGCAATATGATTCGGGCATTTGTCTTTGACACCGCCACACTTTGCTGCCTCTGCCGGCGTCGCGGGGGCGTCAGCGCAGTCGACGACGACGCAGGCGACTGGGAAGGTGTGTGCGTTGTTCTTGTTGTTTCCATATCATTTTGCACTGTGTGTATTTGTGTGTGACTCGCCGCCTCTCACACCATCTCACTCCCACCTCTGCCGCTCCTCCTCCTCCTCCTCCTTCTGCCAGTCTTTTCACATCAATATTTGTGAGTGACAGCAGCGAACAAATGTGAAATTCTTCTCATATTGTGCTGGCGTCACTCCACTACTACACACCAGCCCAATCCCACACCACCCCCTCAGCCGACCACCGCCCACCTCCCCTCCCCTGGAATAACCGTTGTTGTTTGCTCTTGATTATCTTCTCTCTCTAGCTCAATTGGCTTTGGCTGGCTGGCCGACTGTCTGTCCATCGGTCATGAGTTGCCTTTATTTCTTTTTCATTTGCTGTGTTTTTTCCCTACCTTTTTTGTTGATTTCCATTGTGTATGCGTGTGTTTGACTTCGTGTTATATCTTATACCCACACACATGCAGATAGCGCCGCCGTTTCGTTTGATTTGCTATTAAAAGAGTTTACGGCTGTTTTCTTTGGTCAATAAGCCCGAAAAGCTAATCAATTGCTCGAACAACGGCACAACAACTGGATCCGAATTTCTTGTATAACTAAAATAGATTCGAAGAGCTCGAATTTATTCGAAATCGCATGTTATATTTACTATATGCCGCTCCCAAGACAACTTTTTTTAATAATGTGATTTTTTCAAAGTTTTTCTAAATAGTGTTTTTTTTTTCTATTGGTTGGTTTATATACATTTTAAATTATGGGGAGTTATTCTATAAATAATATAAATATTTGTATAATGTTGTAAATCTTTCAGATTCCATGTATTTCAAATGTTGTTAGTGTTGAGATACAGCCACGATGTGCTTCCAAATGTAATTGCCAAGATGAGTCGGTATTTTTTGCTGAAGATTTCCGATAAGAAAACTAGTAATTATTGTATCTGTTGCTAGAGTTTTTCGAAGTTGAAATGCACTTGATCGCAAGCAAAAGATTGAATGCATTTTTGAACAGTTGCCTTTCCTGGATTAAAGATTTTGTCTGGCTTTCTGACTTAACTTCTTCTGCGCATTCTTCTACTTTTGATTCTTCTTCTTTTTTTCCCCCTATTCTTGTTAACGGCCGCCGGTGTGGGAATGTGTGCGAAAGAGATGTTCATTGAGCGGGTAAAAGAGAGGGGGACAATGTGAGTGCTTCTGAGTCTTCCTCGTTTTTTTTTTTTGTTGAGTGGAGTGAGCGAGGTTATTGACTCGAAAAGCAATACCCCCTGCCCTTTTTTCAGCGTCCAACAAGCCTGCCGTCTGCGTCATCGTCTGGCGCGATCTTTAGTCTCGTTTTCCCTTTCCCTTCCCCGCCTGCTTTATCCCTCTCCCTTTTCAACGCTCTGCCACTCCTTGCGATCGAGTGCTGCAACAAGAAAATGCAACAGCTTCAGCAGCAACAAGTTCCACTTCTTCTTCTTCACCCATTTTTATTAATCAATTTAGGGTTCTACGGAGTAGAAATCATAAATCAAAAATCAAATACATTTTCCATCCTAAATTGCCTTTTAATTGCATTTATTTAAAGTGTTCAGCAATTTCCCTGAAACTCTCACACAGGAAACTTTAATCCCTTTCGTTATCTTTCCCCTTTCCTTTTCATCACCCTAACTGGCACACTTAACCAGAATTTTAAGCAATTTTCCTGTTAAACGCTTTAAATTGTGTGCCTTTTCAAATTGTGAAATTTACCAACAGTGATATAAAATATGCATAATCGTTTAATTTCATTAATTGGTCCAATTAAGCTATCTACCACACATTTATTAAATCCAGACATTTTCACAGTTTTGCAGTGTGTGAAATTGTTAGGATTATAAGCCCTTTAAAGCTCTTAACAAAGTTTCAAAGATGCAAATGACGAGAAAATACTCGAAAAGAGGTAAGACTGTCTGTACTTTAGACCATAATTGGTAGTAATTTGTATCATTTAAGCTCTTAAGCTTTTATATCAATTATCAATCTAAAAATACATCATAAGTATCAAGTCAGCCTAGTTTGGTTTAAGAAGCATTTCAAGTCTCAAAATTTATGTAAAGCTGAAAAAACCTCATTAAAAGTTTATTCTACTAATCCTAGCTGAAACTACATATATCTATTCAAATATTATTTTAATTTTGTGCAGGCATAAAAGATGTACAGGCATAAAGCAATTAGTAGGAATATTTGTGGAAAGATAACTTGCTCTTGTATGAAATATGACTGTTTTTAGCAGAAAAACATCTGGCACTTATGAAAAACATTAATGTGATGAAATCCTTGCCACAAAGGGGTGAAAATTTTATTTGAAACAAGAAAGCCCACTGGAAATGAAACGAAAATCCTGCGCCGATTCTGTTATTCTTGTTTTGCACTTCTCTGTCTGGAATACATTATCATGAAGGATATATTGCCAACCAGTTTCTGGGAGTAAAACAGAAGGCGAGGGATGGGAAATTGGGAGGTGTTGGGTCTCTCGCCTGGGCAAGAAAACTGTGCAAAAAAAAATAACAAAAAAGAAGGAAAAAAGGACACACATAAAATGTAAACTCTGAACCGAAACGGGGCGTGTAACGAACGGAGGGCAGAGAGAGAGGCGGAGAAATCGTGGGTTGTCGCACACAGGACGAACAGGCCAACAAAACGAACAGGAAACGAGCGTGCAAGGACACACAACTTTTGGCGTGTGGGTGGTGCAGAAACGGGGGGTGGAGTTGTACGGCTGGGTGGGTGCAGAAATGGGGGCGTGGCAGGGGTTAGCCAGAGTGAAGTGGCAGTAAAACGAGCCGAATGAGAATAGAGAATTGCGAATGGGTGTAGTAGAGCAAGGGGACGAAGTAGCGGCATCAGCAGAACAGCAAAACTAAAATTGAAAATGGCAACGCCAGCGGGAAGGAGATGCAGAGCAAAAGGAACACGAAAGGAGAGGGGCAGAGAAGCAGAGGAGCTGGCAACAACA